TAACCTAACCTAACCTAACCTAACCTAACCTAACCTAACCTAACCTAACCTAACCTAACCTAACCTAACCTAACCTAACCTAACCTAACCTAACCTAACCTAACCTAACCTAACCTAACCAACCAAGTGCCATTTATTTACGAAAATAAACATACACAGAATGGATTGCGGCTGGCAAATCTCCAGCTCACATATCCTTACAAAAAACAAAATTAGAACATACAAAAAGAGGCTCTATCCTCTTAAATTTGCCTTTCAGGCCACAAATGAAATCCTAACTAATTAATGATGTCCGCGCCCACTCGTGGGGCTTCGCCTCTTCTTCTCCGCTCGCTGTCTTCTTTGAACGTCATGACTCGGGATGCAAATCTCACCACGGCATCCCAGCATTCACTGTTCGTCACCATTTTGTCAGCCGTTGACCCGATGTCGAACACACCCAGCACCATCACAACCTGTGCCCGTTCCGCGTCCCAACTGCTACACTCAAACATGGTATGTCTGGCATCGTCGACATCAGCCTCGCAGTGGTGGCATCTACTGCTCTCCTCTTTTCTGATGCGGTGTAGGTAACTCCCGAAGCAACCATGCCCGCTGAGTAGCTGGGTCAGGTGGTACGTTGTTCGACCATGCTTCCTGTTACACCACGCCGCTACGTCAGGAATTATGGCCCTTGTCCAAACTCCGCTGTCGGCGTCGCTCAGGGAGCTCAACTGCTCCATCCATCGCCGGATTGTCCTCTGGCGGAGTACTGCCCGTCCCGGTACTTCCATTTCTGTGGTTGCGTTCTTCTGCGCCCAGTATCCTTCTTTCCGCTCTATTACGAGCTGCTCTATTGGGGGCAACCTAGATATGATGTTGGCAGCTACGTTCGAGGTGGTCCGATACGCGCATATACAACGCAGCGCCACCCGCCGTTGCACCCACTGCAGCTTCGCCGTCCGTTGTTTGGAGTAGTCCAGGCTCTTACCCCACACCGGCGCTCCATACAGTATCACCGAGTGGACAACACTTGACAAGAGCATTCTTCTCGCTTCTTTGGGGCCGCCTGTGTTCGGCATCAACCTGCTGAGCGCCTGGAGCACCTTATGTGCTTTGTCCGCAGTGGCTTGGACGTGCTCGCTGAACAGCAGGTTGTCGTCAATCATGATACCAAGGTACCTGATGGCCCTCTTCATCGACACTTGGGTATTGTCTAGCTGGAGTCTCGGAATCGTGTCCTTGTACTTCCTTCGGAACATGATTCCTTCGGTTTTGTCCGTGGCAAGAGACAACTCCAAGCTCGTGATCTCGTCCGCAACTATGCTCAGAGCAGTGTTCGTCATCTGCTCAACCTCCGAGGAACTACTTCCGCACGCGACTACCAGAGTGTCGTCAGCGAACCCAATAAGCTCAACTCCTCGGGGGAGCTGGACTCTGAGAACTCGGTCGTACGCAATGTTCCACAGAAGAGGCCCGATCACTGAGCCCTGTGGGACCCCACATGTCACGTCGACAGTAAGCCTGTACCCGGCCGATGCCGAGCAGTCGATTACCGCAGTTCTGCAGCTGAAGTAAGAACTGAATAACTTCAGCAGATAGGGCTGCGTCCCCACCCTGCGTAGCGCAGCCAAAACATGCTCCCAACCTATGGTGTTGAACGCGTTTCGTATATCGAGGCTGACAGCAACGCACATACGCTTGTTGTTGATGGCATCACAGGCAGTGTTCCTCAGTGACATCGCCGCGTCTGTGGTAGAGCGCCCTCGCCTGAAGCCATACTGCACTGGGGATAGACCTCCCGCTCTTTCTAACTGTTGCTCGATCCTCTGAACTAAAAGATACTCGAAGAGCTTCCCAACGTCATTCAGTAGGCAGAGGGGGCGATAAGATGACGGTACGCCCACCGGTTTGTCGCCCTTCCTCAGCAATACAAGCCTCGACGCTTTCCAGCGCATGGGGTAGACTCCAGACGCAAGGCACCTGTTAAATATACCTAGTACCCATTCAGGGCATATCTTGGAGACCGCAAATAGAATGGCCGTATCGATACCATCCGGTCCGGGCGATTTGTTCCTGGCTCTTATGCGGTGGACGGCTTTCCAGAACTCCTCCATCGTCAACGGGGGCGCATTCTCACCGATAGGTATATCTGCACGCGCAACAGCCGGCCTGTGCGGGAACAAGCCATTAGCAATCCTCACCAAGGATTCTCTCTCCATATTCAGGGTCGGTTGTGGACCTGCCAGCCTCCGGAGGACCATTTTATACGGTTTACCCCATGGGTCGGAATCAACCAGGTCGAGCATTTCCCTCCAGCAACGCGCCTTGCTTCGTTTAATGGCCCGCCTCAGGCATTTTCTTGCATCCTTCAGAGAAGACAGAGCTGCAACAAGTGCAGGCGTCTCGTTTAGTCCAGCTCGTCGCGTCTCAGCCAAGAGCCGCTTGACGGATCTCCGGCACGCACAGCATTTCCCTCGGAGTTCAGAAATTTCACCGGTCCACCAGTGCACCGCCGCTCTCTTATGACTCGCCAGTTGTGGACAGGCAAAGTTCGCTGCCGCGGAGACCGTGGCCTCGAAGTCATCAGCTGCCGCGTTAGTGTCGGCTAGGTCGGCCGCACTCCGATTGGTCCACCTGGCCAGTAGTAATCCGGTCGCCATCGCATCAATATCCACCCCGCATCTGGTCTTCCACTTCCTGCTCTGGGTGACATACTCAGCTTGGTCCGTTCCGTGCTCCGTACAAAACGATATGGTCCGATGATCCGAACCGTTTTCTGTATCGCACTCGACTGTCCATCTCCTCGTTGTCTGTGCCAATGCTTCGCTGGCAATCGTTATATCGACGATCGAGCCTGCACCTCGTCCAGTGAATGTCGGGTTGGATCCCTCATTCATGATTACCATGCCTAGCGAGTCAACGAACGCCATGAGCTCGTACCCTCTGGCGTTTGATTCCCAGTCACCCCATGCAGCAGACCGCGCGTTAAAGTCCCCAGCAATGATGACCTCGGTTCCAGCACTCAGGTTGCGAGTGCAGTCCTCTAATCTCTGGAGGAAGTCATTGAAGTGTGCAATGGCTGGGCGCGGGGACACATAGCAGCTGACCACAAATACGTTGCCGTCCAGCCTAGCTGCCACAAACTCATTGTCCCTCACCACATTGGCAACTGAAATCCGCTGACCAAAGACGCCAAGCGCTGCCCCTCCATTGAGGCTGAGCAACCATCCGCCCACCTCGTGGGATATACCCTGAGGGTCAGAGGCGATGACAACGTCAACACCCTCCTCAATCACTGTTTGCAGCATAAGGTTGTAAGCTTGCCAACAGTGATTCATGTTGATCTGTTTAAACTTCAAGCCGGCGGATGGACCGCCCCGGAGGGGCTAGTTTCTCCAACGACTGATGCACTTGGTAGATCACTGACCACTTTTGGTGCGCCCGTACAATCAGCGATTAGATGGCCTACTCGGTGGCATCGGAAACACTTCATCACCGCCGAGACTGCCGTACAATTTCTAGCCATATGGCCTAGTTCATCACACCGGTAGCATCTAGCTTTCCTGTTTTCGAGCAGTTTGACACGGCAGTTGCCCATGCCGACCCGAATAGCACCCGCAGCTGACAACCGCAGGGCAGTGGCCATGGACACCTTTACAGCAGCTACTCTACCACCTCCTGAGTTGTTCCTGACTACAATAGTTGCTGACTGCAGACCTTCGTCAGCGCGCCGGATGTCATCGATCACCCTTGCCTCTTCCAGCCAGTCAGCAATGTTGACCACCAGGATTTGTGTAGTCCTTGAGGGCCTGGAGATACAGGCTTGATCCCCGATTGTATTTTTTAGTCGTTCCGCTAACAAGTCAGCACCGGCTTTACCTTTTATTTCAAGCAAGATACCTCCTGCCTTGGTGCGGCGTGTATTGCTGACCTCCACTCCAATCTCCTGGAGGTTTACCTCGGACATGACCTTCTTCATGACATCGGCGTACGATGTACCCTCCTTGGGGTTGCTAATCGTGACGGCTTCCGTTTTCGGGGTACGTTTGCGCACCAGAGCAGCGGCGTCCCAGGGCTTACGAGGGGGCCGATTTGGTTCCAAGTTAACTAAGGCCGGCTTCGACTTCTTCTTCCTGGCTTCCGTCCATTCGGAGTTTTGGCTTTGTTCAGGAGTCTCCGATTGGTCCACTGGCATGATCTGAGTGGCCAACTTCTCTGAGTCAGCCGTTTGCGATGCAGGGTCAGCGGCCACTTGCTTTTTCTTTTGCCGTCTGTTACGCTGCTGTTGTGGCAGCTTGGAGTCCTGCCGTCGTTCTTGCAGTAGGTTGTTAATCTGCTCTTTCAACTGCAGGGTCTGGTTATATCCCAGGTCCATCTTCTTCCCCTGCTCCAACAGTTGGAGATTCACTGCGTCCAGCTCTTGCGGCAGGTTTTGGCTGGGAGACGTTGCATGCACCCCGTTACCTTGTTCCAGACACCGCACCTGCTCCGCCCGTATTTCGCTCATCAGCTTGAAGGATTGCGAGTGCTGCTGGAGCTGTTGCTGCTGCAGTGACTTTATGCGTTGCTCAACTGCGTCCGGGTTCCTGACCATGCCCAGCATCTTAGCAAGTCCTTTAAAATCCCTAAGATTTGCACCCATTGTTCTTACGGCCGTCTTGATATCCAACTTTGTGTTGGGGGCCGCCTGCACAGCCGCTTCCAGTGTTCCCATAACATCCATCAGGGAGTCCAAGAGTTTGGCGTACTTTGCCTCTGCCTCGGTGCGGGTCATCCGGGCAGGGGAAGGTACTCCAACACTGCCACCATTCGCCATTTTTCTTTTGTTGCCTTCTTCGTCAGCATATCCAGTTTCCAAATTTCCAGTCTTGTTTCCAGTTATGGACGGGCCCCCCCCCCGAATCCGTGGGGCCCTTGGTCAGGGGTAAATTACCGGCGTTTTTGTCCATCTTTGATTTTTTAGGCAAATTCTAGCCTGCGTTTTTGCCCTGCCGCCAGGGGGGGAATTTTCAGTTGCCTTCTGGGGGATTTGCAGTTACCATCTGGGTCCGTTTCCTGTAGGTGGGAGGTGGACCGGCCCTGCTGGCCCCAACGTGTTGGGTCTGGGCCAGCTCTGGTGCCGTTTGCTTGTGCTGGCAGGTGGACCAGACCTGCCGCCCCCAACCAGTTAAGGTCAGAGGCGGCTCTGGAGGCTCCGACTCCGACTGGTTAAGGTCGGAGCCGGGGAGTTGGGTACCTCTTGGCACCGAGGTGAGCCTCGGTGAGCCCCCCCACCGCGTCAAGGTGGGTCCCGTCGGGGGGGAACCTAACCTAACCTAACCTAACCTAACCTAACCCTCTTGAGAATCGCGGAGAGGACCTCTTCTTTGGTGGTGACCTCGTCGAGGTCGGAACCTAACCTAACCTAACCTAACCTAACCTAACCTAGGGCCTAATCCACGAACCGAACAACGGATAACAAAAAAAAAAAACCTCACAGTGAATTTAATGACTCCAACTTCTTCTTCAGATCCCGCACCTTGGTCCTAATGGAACACAGGGATCTGGGAGTTTTGTTGAAGGTTGGAGTGTTCAATAACTTCCGTAGTCCATCGGCGGTGTTCAGTATCGGGTCCTGGGTTGCAATGAGACGCCTCAAAGTCCTCTCCTCCTCGATACTGAACTTCAACTTCACAGGCGACACGACACTAATCTTACGAAAGCTAAAACCTAAAGCAGATGTCGGCGTCTGGGGGTCCAGGAGCCTTTCAATGACTAGAAAAAAATTAAAATTAAAAAATAAAATAATTATTGGACTAAACGAAATCAATAAAAATTAAAAAAATTAAAATGATGCCACATACCGGTCGTAGGTGACTGGGGGACCTGGGAGACATCATTGGCTATAAAAAAACAAAATTTAATTAAAAATAAAATAATTATTAAGGACTACACGAATACGGCAAAAATTAAAATTTACAAATAGGTAAACCAGAAGCGCAGTCAACATAGAGAACGCTCACAATGGGATTCTTAGGAACCCCAGCCCCTACGTCCATGCCCAATTTTGCCGGAGGTGCGCCAGCCTCGGACACAATTGACTGGAACAACTGCCTTCTGGATGGTGTCCCGACAGGCACGGTCCGGTACACTACATCCGGAACAGATTGCTCGCAGGCCTCGCGGAATGGGTAGTGTACCCGGGTATCAAATCTATGCAGCGGTCCAGGCGGTGGGTTGGCTGCATAGTGTGCCTTCCTTTTATCATAGTACTGTTCCTCGGTCAGTAACCAATCCATCTGTTAATAAAAATAAATTAATAAATAAATAAATAAATACTTGAATTCAAACCTAGGGTCACAAAAATGTTTTAATACTAATTTCCACATCACCCAGTGAGGTATAGTATATAGGATGCGTTTTTTTTACAGTGGTTTCCCCAATAGGCCTAATCCACTGTTTTTTTTTACGTGGTATCCCCCGAAGGGCCTAATCCACGACCGAACCAACGGCGAAGTTTTTTTAACGTGATATCCCCGAAGGCCTAATCCACGACCGAACCAACGGCGAAGTTTTTTTTAACGTGATATCCCCGAAGGCTTAATCCACGAACCGCACAACGGCAACAAAAAAAAACTCAGGCGAACCGCACGAGTGACTGAGGTGCGCCAGCCTCATGCAGCTCAGCCCGAGTTTCGGTGACCCTAGCTGATCGAGGATCAATGTCATTCACAAACCTCCAGTCGCTTCTAAAAAAGATAAACAAAATATAAATTAATATAATATTCGTAAAACAAAATGTAAAAAAAATATACATACAACTGGCGATGGGAATGTGCCATCAGCAACACAACGGGTATCACCTCCACACACCGGTTGATCAGGCACTGCAAAGGATTGACCACGTCAGCTATGTCCGGCCGCCGAGAGACTAATGTGTACAGGATGGCCAGCCTGTACACATTAGGATGGACAAACGCATCGATTACGGTCGCGTAACTGACTGTGCCGGATATTGACAGGCTACCCAACGCATTGTCAGTACGTCGACCGTACTCGGATACCAGGCGCTTAATGGTGAACGCCGTTGCGGATGATGCAGGTGCACTCATCCCGCAATCGACGCTCACCAGTCTGGCGGCGGTAGTCAGCCACCATTCTGCTGCCTGCAAAAACATAAATTATTATATTAAGATTATTGAAATGTTAGCAAAAACAAGAAAAAAACAAACAAAAACTTACGTCTTCGGCTGTGCAACATAGCAGGTCGACGGTGACAGACGAAAAAATTTCGGCCAGTATCACCCTCACGAAAGGACCAACAGGCACCTCACCGAAGATTTGATTCGGCGATAGCCGGTGGAAATCTCCGGCCCGTGATGGAGCATACCGGACGAACCCATTGTCGTCCCGCCGACTCTTCCTCCTGCCACCGGGAACCAATTGGCGGCACGGGAATAGAATTGACACTCTGGTGTAGTCTAAGTGCCGTGCCTCACCAAACGCCAAGAACCTCAAAATCAACTCCGCGTCATAGACGCTCGCCAGCAACTACAACAGCAAAAACATAATTAAAACATTAAACTCATCTACCCCAGTAAGATAAACAAGCAATAAACTTACACGATTGTGGAAGTGGGCCGTCTGCAATGTCTCCACCAAGTCCACGAGCCGACTCAATGTGTCCAACATCAAGGATTTGACATAGTAATTCCAATCCTTTGATGAACACACGAGCAACCCCTCTGTTAGACAGAACTCGGACATGCGAGTTCCGTATGTGGCCATCAGCGACAACACCGCACACGATGTGTCACCACTGACCACACACTCGAAACGGACGCCCGAGCCCATCACCGCGTCCCGCAGAAACGCCCTGTACGCGGCGATTAATTGGGCGGCACAGTTGCCGATAGGCCGTAGGGAAGCCATTCGGCTTTCCCGACAACTATCACCGCCCAACAACAGCCACGTGAACACGGACATACCACTGAGACCGCAGCGAAGATACCCATGGTCATACACACCCAGACCAGGGTAAAACTTGACACCACTCAGCAACGCCTGGGCTGCACGCCGGTCCACAAGCACGGCCCTCACCGACGACCTCATTGTAAATTCAACGCCAAAATGGCATTGAACAATAACAATGAAGGCGTGGTAAGGGTCAATGTACCGATTTATAAGGCTCAGTGCAGCATCCTGGGGCAGCTGCAAGCCATGCAGCGCAACATAAAACCTACAATTCAATAAATTAATGTACAATTACACTAAGGAAAATAAAAAAGAAATACACAAGATGACACTTACAAAATACTGCCAAACGTGCCGGCTTCGGTGGTCAACCGCTCCACCTCGTATGCCAACTTCGGCCAGTCGGCGGGGTGGAGGTGCCACTTACTACCGAATGGATTGCCGGCCCCCTTCCTCCTACTACGACAGGCTGAGCCCAACTTGAGGATAGCTGGGCCCAGAACTGTGTCCAGGAAATACTTCCTGTAGTCGAAGTGGACAACCTGTTCGACGTCGAGCTCGTCCTCCGAGGTGTCCGAAGTAACTTCGGAGGAGTGTTGTCCCGTTGGTATGCTCAACAATATCCTAATGGGTGGGTCGCCCCCCATGGTGAACTCGACGTGCGAGTACGCTATAAAATTAAAACAAATTAATAAACCTAACCTAACCTCGATTAAACGTTCATACTTACTCTTCCGAGACACACCAAATATCCCCTGCAATAGTTTGGTGTTTTGGCAAGGAACACATTTGCCGGTGACGTTAACGTCGAATGGCGTGCCGGGCTTATACGCAGACAGCGAGGAAAACCCGTACACGACACTATCCACGTCAACCTCGACCGGCTTCATTTTACCTACGTCTTTCAATGTGAGTGCGGTAAACTAGAAATTTAAATTAAAAATCACTGTACAAAACACTATCCTCAATAGCTTTGAAAATAATAAACTTGAAAAAATACCCTAACACACCCAACATGGAAAATCGTCCATAAAAACATCCCCTAACCATAGATTTTGACCTTGAAAACATCACCTAAACATCCACCGACAAAAAAACCTAACTAAAAAACATCTCCCACAATAAACAACCTTCCCCCTTTGACATCACAATACATCCCCAAAACATACCAAAAATATTTTGAAAACATGCTACAAATAAATTTGCTTAACCTCACTAGGGTGATGTGGAATTGGATAATAGAAAAAATGTATATCAAAATGCCACTTACCCCAGGTTGCGGACGATCTGATTGCTCTTTATCAAAAATCAAGCTGTCAGAGGAACTGGCAATCGGTGGCGGCTGAGATTCCTAAAAAACGTAAAATTGTATAAATCGAAGATCAAAATTCGTAAACAAATATCAACACAAACATAAAACATGAACTTGCGAGTAAAAAAAATTATTAGATATACGTGATAAACTTACGTGCGATGGTCCGACGGTAGATTGGCCTGCCCTACTAGTCTGTATAACAAAAAAATATGAAGTCACTAAAAATGACAATGAAAAAATAAATAAAATATACTTACTGAAGGTCTTTGATCCATTTCAGGTTAATTGGAAAAACAAAACGACAGAATATCTAAAACAAAAAAAAATTTAAAGTTAGAATATACAGCTTTCGTTAAAATTTCGTGGAAATTGATCTGGCGACTTAATCACTGTGTCCCCCCGGTTCCGGGGTCTCATACACGCTAAGTTATGCATGGCTAAACTTCTTTTATTGTGGGGGGGAAAGTACAACGAATATGGGGGGACCATTTAGAGGGTCTCGAAAGATCATTGTATGGTGGTGAAACGGGGGACCCAAGTTGAAACGC